GCCGCGTCCCATTCCTGCTACGCATTTCGCATCGTCGACGACAGGCAAGGCCATGTTGAGAGAACGAACGACGGCTTTGTATTGATTTTACAATTCGAATGGGAGGGCCCGGATTGACGCCGCGCGCGATGTGCGCCGCGTCCCATTCGTGCTACGCATTTCGCATCGTCGACGACAAGAAAGGCCATGTTAAGGGAACAACGACGAATTTTGTATTGATGGTTGACAATTCGGATGGGAGGGCCCGGATGGAACCCCTATCGGCCAGCCAGAGGGGGGAGTAAGAGTATATACGAATAAATAATGAGGATGGGAGTAGCAATAGGAGTCAAACTAGCCAGCTCGAGCGACTCAAGCATGGCATGCCCATTCCCACCCGCCCTCCCACAACATAAAAAAAACAGTGTTGGCGCAACTGGGGACCGAACTCAGATCGGCAAGGTGGTTTGCCACAGCTGATGCAGCCGCGATGGCGGTTAATGGTAAGAGATCCCTGGCGCGTCTCAAAGGCTGCGCTGGCAATTCAGCACGAGCCGAGGGGCCCCAGGAAACTCCAGGAGGCCCCAGGGGGCTCCAGGAGAAGCCCCAGCGACCCTCAGGAAGCCCCATGAGGCTTCAGGAGGGCCGAAGAATCCCCAGGTAATTCCAGGAAGCTTCAGGAAGCCCGAGGAAGTGTCAGGACCCCCCCGGGAATCCCAGGAAACCCCAGGATGCTTCAGGAGGCTCAAAGAGGATCCACGAGGCCCTGGGGAAGCCCCGGGAAACCCAGGATGTCGCAGGAAACCCTGGGAGGAGGCCCCAGGGGGCTCTAGGCGCTCGGCGAATTGGCGAGCGAAAAATGTGCGCCACTCCTTAGCGGGAGCGACATTTCGCCCTGTCGCGCGCGATGTGCACCGCGCCCCCTTTCTGCCACGCGTTTCGCAAAACCGACGACAAGAAAATCCCCACTAAGAAGAAACATGCCGACTTTGTATGGTTTTTAATACATTTGATGACCCTTCCCGTTTGGGGTTGCCCCAAACCTCCAGGCGCGATGTGCGTCGCGTCCCATTCCTGCTACGCATTTCGCATCGTCGTCGACCAGAAAGGCCATGTTGTGAGAAAGGCGATGACTTTGTATTGTTTTTTACAATTCGAATGGGAGGGCCCGGATTGACGCCGCGCGCGATGTGCGCCGCGTCCCATTCCTCCGGGCATTTCGCATCGTCGACGACAAGAAAGGCCATGTTGAGGGGCAAAAGCGACGACTTTGCATTGATTTTCTAGTCAATTCGGATGAAATGGCCCAGATGGAACCCCTGTCGGCCAGCCAGAGGGGGGGAGTAAGAGTATATTCTAATAAGGAATAGGGATAGGAGGAGGAGATGGAGGAGGAGGAGGAGGAGGCGGAGGAGGAAGAGGAGGAGGAGGAAGAGGAGGAGGAGGAAGAGGAGGACGAAAACGATGCAACTAGAAGGATTCAACCATAGGCCGCCCACGGGGCGTAGGTCAACGGACCCCCAGCATCGCCAGCGAAAAATTGACACCACCACCCCGCGATCTTGGGGACCCAGACCCGATCAGAAGAAAACGCGTGGCCCAAAACAGTGAACCATGCGCCGGCGAGACTATTCCCGCAGAGGTAGGGCAGTTCGGGGCCAAGGAAGGATCATAACGTTTTACTGGGTATACCGATGTTCGGGTGTCTGTATCGGTTTCCAAGAGCCGCAACGATGGAGCCTCCATGATCCGTCTTGAGGGCCGCTTGGAGATGTGGGACGACAACAGCTCCTGCACAATACGATGGTGGAGTAGTACATTGGTCCTTCTCAAGGCGCCTCCTTGGAGATTTCGGATGAACGCACGCCCTGTGAAAAAACGATTGTGCAATGGTACATGGGATCCTTCCGGAAGGCTTACCTGCAGGCGTTGGATGTGCACACGGAGTGCACCCCTCGGAGATGTGGGTGGGCGCAAATCCAATGTAATAGCACGGTGGCCTGGTGCATTGAATCCTTTTTCGGGGGGGCCCTGGAGGCGCTAGGTGAGCGCAAATCTTGTGTAATACTCTGGCGGAGTGCCACATTCACTCTTCTCGGGGTGCCTCCTGGGGGATGTGGGGTGAGCGTGAATCCTGTGAAATAGTCTGGTGGAGTGGTGCATGGGATCTTTTCGGGGAGCCTCCCTGGAAGCGCTGGATGTGCGCAAACCCTGTGAAATACTTGGGCGGAATAATGTGCGACTCCCTCTCGGGAAGCTACCCGGGCGGCAAACGTGGGAAGAACGCGAATTGTTGGAGCTTGCGCCGCGCGTGTTGCGCGAGGAGCCCTATTCTTGCGCGCCCCTCGGAGTGGAACCCCACGCGCGCCCGGCACACGGCACAATGAAAGCGTCGAAAATGACTGGCGCACTGAACTTACTTCTTGGCGTGGCGCAGGTCCTTGAAGGCTCGCGCGAGAAATCCTCGCTTGCTTGCGAGAAAAGTGGACGCTCATGCTCGCTCGGCGCCCTTTCGAGCCGTCCTTGATGTGCTCGCGCTTGGTGCAGGCCTTGGCTGCCTCGAGAGCCTCCTCGAGGCTGGCGTGCTTGGGCTCGGCCGCGAATGGGTCCTCGGCCTCCTCGCCGTTGGCCTTGGCTTTGGTCTTTGCCGCCAGAGTGTTGCAGGCGTCTCGGACGTGCTGGGCCTACTCGTTGCCGCGGGTGGAGCGCGCGCCGACGCCGACGGGCAGTGGGCGCCCCTCGCCCTGGCCTTCCCGCGAGGCGCGCTCGAGCCGTCGACCTGGGAAGTCTTAGTCCTCGGAAGGGGGGATTCCTCGCCTGGGCCGATGGACCCGAGCTTGCGGAGGATACTCGCGGCGGCCCGCTATAGGCGCTCTCGGACGGCGCCTTGAGGGAGTCTCGGTACTCGATGGCGACGTCGGGCTCGTGCTGGGAGACCTCTATATCGGCGTGGCGGCTGGGGCCCTCGCTGTGCAGTGCGACGAGCAAGTGCGTGGCCTCCTCGACCCTTTTGGCCGAGCGCTTCTGTCGGACTTGCTCCTCGGCGGTGGGCTTGCGCTCACACTGGCCCGCTCGAGCCTGGGCCTCGGCCGCCATGGGCTCGACCGCCGCCGCGCCGTCTGCAAGGCCAGCTCCCTCCTGGATCTTGCCGACCTCTGCGCTCAGCGTGCCCAGCTCGATGAGCTCATCCTTTTTGATTTGCTCGGTGCTCGGGATCGCCGAATCCTCGGCGAGCTCGGCGTGCGCGGCAGGCCGGCGCATTCGCCAGTCCAGCTAGGGTGGCTGGGTGGTTTCCAGTCCTCCTCGACCGCGCCCTCCCATGCTCGGGGGCCGACGTGTGCTTCCTCCTCCTCCTCCTCCTCCTCCTCCTCCTCCTCCTCCTCCTCACCCCCCTCCTCGTCCTCCTCCCCCCCTCGCTCCGGCACCCGTTGGCCCTCGAGCCTTGCTGCTGGAGATTTGGGGGGTCGCTGCAGCGTTGACCTCGGGCATTCGGGGCCTGAACTCGCCCGCGGAGTCCGCGACGCGTTAAGTGTCCCGAGCCCTGGTGCGCCTGCCCTCGTGGAAGCCCTCACGGTGACGCGGGTTGCCTTCCTCGTGCCCGGGGCTGTCGGGGCAGGGCTCGAAACCTTCCTTCTCTTTGGCTTCGCTTTTCTTCTTAGAGTTCCGCTTCCTGCTGCGCGGCTAGGAGCTTTGCGGTGGTGGCGCTATGTGGCCTTCGGCGCCCTGCCCGCGAGCTTCGATTTCGCGGCGCCTTGGCTCTTTCTCTAAGAGGGCGGCCTGGCCGCCAGCCTCGCCTTTCGTCTTGTCCACTTGCGCCGCAGCTTGCCGAGGCGCCGGCCCGCGACCCTGGCGGCCCGCTTGCTCTTGCGCCTGTTTGCGCGAGTCTGCTTGGCGTGGCTCTGGCGAGCGCGCGGGAACTGGATCTCCTTGATCTCCGCTCCTCGGGCGGCCGCAGCATGTCCTTCTGCTCCTCAGTGGGCTCGAGATGAAGCGCCTGGAGCTCCAGGAGGCAAGGGTTATCGCCGTCCTCGCAGTCCTTGGGCAGGCCCTCGGGGTGGAATCGATCGCCGTCGAGGGTGCTCCAGTACGGCGCTGGCGGCTCGCTTTCGGGCCAGCCCTGGACAGCTGCCAGACGATGCCTCGCAAGCTTCGGCTCCACGCCGCGGCCTGGCTCGATCGACGCGACCTCTGGGCTCGCCCGGCTCGGTCGGCCGGGCCCGGCATCTGGCTCGCTCGCAACCCCTGCGGCGGCGCCGCCTCCTTGCGCACTTCTCGTGGAAGCGGACAAAACACAAACAAAAAACACACACATAAAACACACACACAAACACAAAACAAAACAATGCGCAACAAACACACACACGTAAGCCGCCTCATACGTTTTTTTTGCTGTGGCTTCCGGCTGCAATCGCCGACGTGTGATGTTCCTTCTGCTCGTCCTCCCCCGCTCCTCGCCTCGGCGCCTCAAGGAGCATGGGGCCACGCGAGTTGGGGCCCTACGTTAGCAGGAACACCCCGGAGGCCACGCGCGGCAACCCGAGGCCCGATTCCTCGCCACCGCTCGGACGTCTATATTCCCCGTGCATGTTTTTTCGACTTTGTGCGTGCACCTTTCGCTCCAGGATCAGACATGCTCCTCGATGGTCCTTGCCGAGAATATATGCCACACGTCCGAGCGATGCCAAGATTCACGTCGGATTTGCGTCGGATCCACGCCAAGCTGAACCGTCACCGTTTGAGGCTACTCCTGGGGAGCATAGGCTGTCATAGACGCAAGCTTTCGGAGGTGCGCATGCACTTCTCTCGATCGGCGCCGGAGCCTCCTCGCGGTGCACTCGGGAAACAAACGACGTCGGCGGCGACGACGACGGACACCAACGACGCCCTGCGTCGGCGATGACGACGGCGGCGAAACCTGCGACGGCACCGACGACGGCGGCGAAAGCGACGCTGTCACCGACGAAGAGGGTGACGAAGAGGATGACGAAGACGACGACGGCGGCGGCGGCGACGATCGGCGCCTGGGCCGTGGGCGCGCCGCTCGAACTTCTGCACCAACGCCCGTGAAGCCTGGCACCCCCAGCCGACGACCCGGCAGCACCACTCCTCGAGAAGAGGGCTCGGCTCTGCAGGTGGAGGGGGGGGGGTAAGGAGGGAAGGAGGGGGACCATGAGGAGGCGGAGGAAGAGGAAGGAACGTATTCGTGGCAAGCCATCGTTTTCGAGATGCCAGAACCACATTCTGATCAGATAGGCCCGCTGCCGCCATGTACCAGGCTTGCCGCATTACTTGGATGGAAATTCCAGAAGCTTCCCCAGTTGTCATGTGGGGGATAATTGAACAGCACAGTTGCGACATGGATATCAAGGTGCATCGAGCGGGGTCATCAAACGTTTGCAAGGCAATCTAGTGAGTCGCATACCCTGTCTCAACATGCCGCACCAGCGCACTGATTTGAGAAGCACGTCACCGCCACAGAAAAAAAAGGCTTGCCAAGTGAAGTCGGCAGAGAGTGCGGGCAACTTCCCGAACCCATCACTGATGCACGTGATCGACGCAGGAAGCGAGGAAGCAGAGGGAAGAGGGAGAAAACTGTTTAGCCTTAGTGTTAGGTCGGGCATGTCCTCCTACAGGGGCATTTTGGACGGAACAAAAAAGTTAAACAACACCCCAAACTGATCAAACATAGTACAAACATCGTCCCCTGACTATTCTTTGACTGTGTTTAATATTCCTCCTGTAGAAGGACACGCCTGACTTAACATTAGTGCTTCAATTGCCTACGTCATCATGCCTTCGAGGACCGTGTGCGTACGACCTGATGCCGAAGAGAGGCCGCACTTCTGACGACACCAGGGCGAGGTCAACGGAGGTCAACTCCAATACACATGTTTGGCTTTCCTGCAATCTTTGCCAGGCTGGCAAAAATCGCAAACGCAGGAGGAAGAGGATGAGGAACCACAGGAGGAGGAGGAGGAGGAGGAGGAGGAGGAGGGGAAGGAGGGGAAGGAGGAGGTGGAGGAGGTGGAGGAGGTATCGCTCCTCCCCCTCACTCTCCTCCTCCTTTCTGCCTGCGTGTCGGCGCACGCGGTCCTTCTTCCCCTCGGACCAGTCCACGTCCCAAGTCAGGTACTGGACGTCGCAGTCGTACTTGGAGTTGTCGTCCTGAGGGGTATCAGGGAGCACGAGACTGAAGATGGAAGGAGAACGAGAAAAGGGGTAATGAAGAGTAGAGGAGGAGAAGGAGGATGAGGATTGGGGAAGAGGAGGATGGAGTGTGGGGAAAGAGTAATTGAGGAGGAGGGTAATGGGTAGGAAGGAGGTGGAGGACATGGGGAGAGTGAGGAGGGATGGAAAGATGGAGCCGGCGGAGGAAGGAGAGAGAAAAAGGAGAGAAGACCGACGGGGGGAATGGGCGGGAAACCAGGGCGTTCAAATGCTTGGAAGCCCGCCCGCCCGCTTTGATGCCCTCCCCCCCCGACACGCACGTTGAGATCCGCCCGCCCGGCCCGCCCGTTAGGGCAGGCCTGCCCGACCCGCCCGTCAGAGTCCGCTGGCCAAAACTGTCGCCCCTCTACGGAAAGTTCGCGTCGTGTCGACCCGAGTGCTGGCTATGGACAACGCGTGGATCGTTCAACCCTGAACGATCGGCCGTTTCCGAACCACCAGATCGTTCAACATCGACCTGAAATTTATAAAACAGAATCACCACTTTCGTTTTGGAAGGACACGTGCCACTTTCATTGTCGACTGCCCTCGAGGCTGCACGTGTGCTTGTGTGTCTGTGACTGATGCTCGTCTTTGTGCGATGTTTTTTGGTCGATGCACTAGCATGCTGCTCATGTAACCTTCCCTCCTGCAGAAACAATGCAACTGCCTCTGCTCCACGACTCTCAAAACATCCCCTGAACGCCAAAGACGCCCCGGACCACTCTGGAAACGCCCAGAAGCCACGATACTCAATCATCAACGACAACGGAATTGGTTTACTGTACCATCTCGTTATACATGGCCTAACAGGGGACCCGCTCGAGCCTGTCAAGGCCTCGCAAGCCCTATCAAGTAAGACGAAGCCAGGACGAGGATCACATCGGGTGAGGATAACTCGAGAATCTCCGAGATCCGGCGGCTCTGGAGTATGTCTCGGGCGCCGCGGCCTTCGCAAAGCGATCTGGACCGCTCTGAGGGCGTTCCAGATCGCGCTGGAATGGATTTTATCCTCGCCCTAGCCCCGTTCGATCAAGGCCCCAAGGCCTCCCAGAAGCTTGGGGGGAGAAGGGGGGAGAGGGAGGAGGAGGGAGGAGAGAGGAGGAGTGGAGGAGGAGGAGGAGGAGGAGGAGGAGGAGGAGAGGAGGAGGAGGAGGAGGAGGAGGAGGAGGAGGAGGAGGAGGAGGAGGAGGAGGAGGAGGAGGAGGAGGAGGAGGAGGAGGAGGAGGAGGAGGAGGAGGGGCAGGAGGAGGGAGGAGGAGGAGGAGGAGGAGGAGGAGGGGAGGAGGAGGAGGAGGAGAGAGGAGGAGGAGGAGGAGGAGGGAGGAGGAGGAGGAGGAGGGAGGAGAGGAGGAGGAGGAGGAGGAGGAGGAGGAGGAGGAGGAGGGGGAGGAGGAGGAGGAGGAGGAGGAGGAGGAGGAGGAGGAGGAGGAGGAGGAGGAGGAGGAGGAGGAGGGAGGAGGAGGAGGAGGAGGAGGAGGATGGAGGAGGGGGGGGAGGAGGAGGAGGAGGAGGAGGAGGAGGAGGAGGAGGAGAGGAGGAGGAGGAGGAGGAGGAGGCGGAGGAGGAGAGGAGGGAGGAGGAGGAGGAGGAGAGGAGGGAGGAGGAGGAGGAGGAGGAGGGAGGAGGAGGGGGAGGAGGAGGAGGAGGAGAGGCGCCAGGGTGCCCCCGAGGAGGCGCCAGGAGGGCCCCGCACGGCCCGCGGAGGGCCTCGCCAGTCTCACCAGGAGGACTCCCCGGGTCGGCCAGGGTTGCCCCGATGCCGGCGGCGAGGGGGGGGCGGCTCGAGGCTCGAACTTCGAGGTTCGGGACGTTTCTTGTAGCTTTCGGCCGCTGGGGGCCGTTTCCGGGCCCCGGGGCCCCCGAAACTCGATCTGGGGCGCAGAAACCGCATCCGATGGACCCCAGGAGGGGGTTCGGGGACAGAGATTTTCACTAATGTTCGGCCGCGCGCCCTGGGGGGGGAAGTGAGAAGGAGAAGGCCTTCTCAGAAGGCGGCGGGACTTCTCAGAAACCCTCGCGCCTTCCGAGTAGTTTTCCGTGTCTTCGGAGAAGGCATGGGAGACTTCTCAGAAGGCCGGGCAGCCTCCGAGCCTTCTGAGGATGCCTTCTCCTTCTCACTTCCCCCCTCGCTCGCTGCCGAATTCAAAGGGGAACGATTGGGGGTGACCTGCTCCAGGGGGGAAGCATCGAGCCGGAATCGGCGATATACATGGCCGATCGATAGGCTATATGGGGCCCGACAGCGACACCGCACGTTCCTGGAGGTGGGTGGTTGGCTACAGTCAACCCGTGTAATGAGGACGCACGATAAAAGGATGCAAGGGCCTTGGAAGGCCATGTCGACACTTTGCGAGCGGGGCGCGGCCAAGGATGGGCCGAGGAGGCAGGGATGCCAGAGTACCCTTGGGAAGGCTGCCCAACCTTACTATGCGGGGTGACTGTATCAGCCCCTGCCGACGATCAACAAGCGACTGGGGGTCGATGCATCCCCTGAGCCTTTCCGCCACTAACGTTGCCGTGGAGTTGTGGCCAACACAAACCAGTTGGTCCACAAGAAACACCACGGTTGTCACAACCACAACGCGGATCAAAAGGTCGCTCGGCAAACCAAGAACACCGCACGGGACGACCTGGAAGAACCAAGCTCATGCTATGGACGGAGGCCGAAACAGCACGACGAGAAATCGAGACATGGCCAACATAAACCCAGCCTGCCCCGAAGGAGACGAATCAATCAGAAGGACCGGCGGCGGCAAGCGTGCCCCCTTCCCTCTCGCCCATCCGCGATCTGCCCATAAAAGGCCTCCTATTGGAGGCCTAGAAGTTGGCACCAACACCAGCACAGGGGGTTGCCTCCACATGGGGAAGGGGATCCTAGATGTCGGTGTTGGTGGCAATACGTCGGTCACCTTGGAAGCCAGAATATTACCTCCATCACCGAGATCGGGATCTTCTTCCCTCGGTGGAAGCACACCACCGATATTGGTGTTGGTGTCAGCCTCTAGGCCTGCGATCCTAGATGGGGTCCGAGCAGATGGGGTAGGAGGATCGCGCCGCATCGCCAAAGCATCGTCAATGCATTGTGGACGTCGGCGATGCGTCGGGGCCACGGAGAAACTCTAGCTCCACATCGAGCCGTATCGTCGACGCATCGTCGATGCGGCTTGATCCTTCGACCCTACCTTGTATTTGAAGCGCCACTAACCTCTGCAATGCCGAATGTGCAGCCCAACCGGCCTGTACAAAAGGCGCCAAGCTTCAGAAAGTGAGAAGGGAGCGATCCACCGAGGAAACGCGCCCAAGCGGCCCGAGGGTGCCCTGCAAAGAACACGTTCGGCCACCACACAAGTGCACATATCTTTGAAGAGCCGCCGCAAAGAGGTACCGATACCGCTATACTCCCCGGACCTCTCCTGGGGTCGTTCCGATTGAGATTCGCCCGAGGCAAATCCAGCCGCGGCGACGAGGGCCTCCTCAGATGCCCAAACACTGGCCGTCGCTCAGACGTCCCTCCCCTGTGCTTTTTCCGGTCTCGTGCGCGGGCTTCTTCGCGGGATGCTCCAGGATGCTCCTGAATAACTCCCCGCCGAGAAGAATTGTGCACACGTCAGAGCGATGCCAAGAAGAGGGGAACACGAGGCAAGGGCAGGAGAGCCCAGAATCGAATCGATAAGTCGAATCGGCGATCGGAATAAAATTGGATCGGCGGAAATCGGCAGCCGAGTCGGAAAAAGTCGAATCGGCAGAAATCGGCAAGCTAGTGTGCCTCCAGTAAGGAATCGGAGCCCAAATCGGAATCCGCAGTCGAATCGAATCGGAATTGGAGGCCATTGAAATCGAATCGAATCGAACCGGAGGAATCGAAACGAGCCCTGCAAGGGTGGCGGTATCGGCAGCTTCTCCTCGTGTGGGGCCCTTCGGCCCCGGCCGCTGGGCCCCCCTGCCTGGAGGGCCTGATAGGCCCAGCGGCCGTCCTGCACGCTCGCCGCGGTGGAGCTGGGCGGCGCGTCCCCCTGGGCAGGGGGGGGAAGATGAAGAGGACGAGGAGGAGGGGGAGGAGGAGGAGGAGGAGGGGGAGGAGGAGGAGGAGGAGGAGGAGGACGAGAAGGAGGAGGAGAGGAGGGGGAGGAGGAGGAGGAGGGGGAGGAGCAGGGGGAGGAGGAGGAGGGGGAGGAGGGGGAGGAGGAGGAGGAGGGAGGAGGAGGAGGAGGAGGAGGCGGAGGAGGAGGAGGAGGAGGAGGAGGACGACGACGACGACGAGGACGACGAGGACGAGGAGGAGGAGGAGCAGGAGGAGGAGGAGGATGACGACCAATACAAAAAACAACAAGGCTCATCAACGAGGTCAGAATAAACACTCCCTTCGAACTCCCACTTCGTAGGCCCCTACCAGGCATCATCTCCACTGGGGGAAATCCTCCGTTGTCAGACAACCGTTTGAAGATCCTGAACCGTGCTAAGGCACATCAGTCGGGACTCCAACACCACGAAGCGACCTGACCGTTGCGTCTTGAAGATCCTGAAGCGTGCCAAAACACCATTCCTGGGGCTTCAACACCGTGAATCAACGAAACTGTTTCGCCTAAACCGCCCTGAACCGCTCCAAAACATTATTTCTGATACGTTAGCCATGGCGCTAGAAACACATATTGAAAAAGAACCGTCCACAATCCGTGATACTTTTTTACACATGTTTGAACCGAGTGTGCGCGGCGCCAAGGCGAGAACAACATTCTGAAAACGGCCCGCCATCGATCCGTGAAGCTTTTGCTCATGTTTAGGACGAGTGTGCGCGCTGTTAAAGGCGAGAGCTGCGTTTTGGAAGCGGCCCGCCCTCCATCTGTGAAGTCGTTTTCCAATCTTTTAAGCGAGGAGGAGGAGGAGGAGCAGGAGGAGGAGGAGGAAGAGGAGGAGGAGGAGGAGGAGGAGGAGGAGGAGAGGGAGCAGGAGCAGGAGCAGGAGCAGGAGCAGGAACAGGAGGAGGAGGAGGAGGAGGAGGAGGAGGAGGAGGAGGAGGAGGAGGAGGAGAGATGGTGGGGAAGTCTCCAGCGAAACGCCCGGCCCGCCTTGTCGTCAGGCCCCGGGGGGTGCGGCAGGGCGGTGTTGCCTATCAAGAAAGGGAGGGGGAGGGGGGCAAGGAATGGAGGATGAGGGGGACAAGGATGATGGAGGATGAGGATGAGGAATGTCTATAAGGAAGGGAGGATGGGCCCAGCTCTTGGCAATCCTTGGACCCCCATCTCTGGCCGCCGCTCGGGCGTCCCTTCCCCGCCGTTCTCTCGGCCTCGTGCGCGTGCTTCTCCGCGGGATGGCCGAAGGTGCTCCTCGATGGCCCCCACCGAGAACAGGTGCACACGCCCGAGCGATGCCAAGATCCGCGTCGACCCCGCGGCCGTCCTGCACGCTCGCCGCGGTGAAGCAGGGCGGCGCGGCCCACGGTGGGCGGTGCCCCTTGGGCCCAAGGTGCCCCCCAGCGCTTCGCCCCCCGTTTTGACAAGCGCGGTCCACTGCTCGCAAAGCAGCTGCTCGCAAACGGCAGGGATCCACCGCGGGGGATTGCCGATATACTACACCGAAGAAAACATATGTATTCCGGACGTTTGCGAAAAGGCACTTCGCGAGCAGTGGAACGCGCCCGGCGACCTCTGGAGTCCCCAGGGCCGCCTGGGCCTCGTGAGGAGGCGCCCTGGAGGCCTCCCCCCGGGGGGGCCTCTCTCTTTTTGGACAAATTTTTGGGGGCACCCTGGGCCAGGGGCACTCCCGTCCAGCAGCGCCCGAACCACTTCTCGGGCGCCGCCACGGCGAACGCGTGGGTCGTGATCCTGGACCGTTCCGTCCCCCCTTGCGGTTGGCGTTGAAAAGATAGCGTGCTACATTGACCTTGGAAAAGTACGCTGTCCGCGTGAGGCATCCCCCCGCGATGGCCTTGTCTGATCGCGCTATCCCCCTTCCAGCGTTTCTTCGGTGCGCGCTATGTTCAAGGTGGGGGATAGCGTTAGCTCGGGCATGTCCCCCTACTGGGGGATTTTGGATGAACAGTGGAAAATACTCAAGCGATATTCCAAAATGGCCAAACATAGTCAAACATCGTCCCCGTATTATTTGTAGACTATTTTTGAATCTTTCTCCTGTAGGAGGTACAGGCCAGACTGAAGGATAGCGTGTAATATGCGGGCCAACGGCGCCACATCGCACGCTAGATTTCCAACTCCAACCGTACGTGGCCGTCCTCTCAGGTGGCGCTGCCAACGTTCTTCGCGTCACGGGGGCCAGAGAAGATGCACGGCGCGCTGCTGCATCGAGCGGGCCGGCTGAAACCGTCAGGGTGCACCTCGAACGAATGACCAGCCGCGGCGAGGCATCAGGAGCTCTTGCCCTGGAACCACTCTTCTTTCTCCTCTCGTTGCCTTCGTTGTCGTCCTCCCCTGCCCCACTCTTCCTTCCCAATCTTCCTCCTCCTGCGGCACTGCGGGCAAAGCGGTCCTTCTCCGCCGAAGCCCGCGCCGCGCCCGCGCCCGCCGCGCGCGGCGCGACGCACGATGCCCTTCCTCAGAGAGCCCCTGGAAGGGGGCCTCAAAGAGCCTCTGGGTCCCTGGGCACCCCGCAGCCAGGAAGGTGAGCTGCCTCGGGGGCCTCGGAGAAGAGGACCGCGGGAGCCCCGGAAGCCCGAGTCCGAGAGGGCGACGGAACAGCTCTCCTCCTCCCTTCCTCTTCCTCCTCCTCCTCCTCATCCTCTTCTTCCTCTCCCTCCTCCTCCTCACTTTGCCTGCCCGGCGCCTCGCACCCCCAGCCGACGGTCGTGCAGCACCAGGTCCTCTTCTCCTGCGGCCACTCCTGACGGGAGGCGCGGGGGCGAGGAGGATGAAGGGGCCCCAGGACACTCAAATAAATACACACAAACAAAACAATTCCCCATATTTTCCAATATTTTTGGTCTTGTGTTTTTTCCCAGTGTTTTTGTTTTCCTCCTGAGAGGACGGAGAGGGCGGAGGGAGGTCGGACGACGACAACATATTTCCGTTGCGTCAAGTGGGACCTTGGAATCCTGATTCGGGCTCCGGGACTACCAACAAAACGACGGGGGGGCGCAGACTAAATTCAAAGACAATGTCGAACGCTCTCTGTGGGGTCGACCGCAACAAGCTTCAACTTTCTGTCATTGTTTGGATCTTTCTGAGCATCGACGGAGGTCCTTCGGGAACCTGTAACTCGTCGGCCAGAAGTGGTCTACAGAAACGCGAAGACGGAGGGCATTCCAACTCTGACGGATTTCGGCCCCCTTCTAATTTTGAAGTGCTCGGGCGTACTTCAATTGTTGAATCGGCGGCGAGCGAGGGGGGAAATGAGAAGGAGAAGGCCTTCTCAGAAGGCGCCGGGGCTTCTCAGAAACGCTCCAACCTTCTGAGAAGACTTCTGTGCCTTCGTGGAAAGACTAGAAAACTTCTCAGAAGGCCGGAGGACCTCTGAGCCTTCTGAGAAGGCTCGCCCCTTCTCACTTCCCCCCTGGGCTCGCCGCCGACTGAAGAAGAGGACCCCCCTTAATGCATACTCCCCTCCCTGCATGCACGACCGACGAGTCCACCACGGTTGGTTCATTCCTGCTGTGCTGGCCTGCGCGGCAGCTACCGACCCCGCGCGGATCGCTCGGCCTCGAACTGTCAGCCGCCCTCTGAGAGCGCAACTTCTTCGACGCCGGCCGATTCCGGGGCACTGGAGGCGTTCAACCTTGAACGCTGGTGCTGGGGTCGCCGCAGCGCCGACGCGACGTCAACCTACCCAACCTGTCTCCTCATGTTCCCCCGCTCTTCTCTCGTGCCCTGCTCCTTGTGCCATCCTCCTGCCTCTCCTCATCAATCCTCCTCCTCCTCCTCCTCCTCCTCCTCCTTTTATGGAAACTCCGTCTCTTGCTCCTCTTCTGTCATCCTCCTTCTCCCCATCCATCAAGCTCCGTTCTCATTCTCCTCCCCTCACTTGCCATCCTCCTGTCCTTGTGCACACCCTGCCCCATGTACCCTTATCCTCCTCCTCCTCCTCCCCCTCTTCCCCACCTTATCCTCCTCCCTCACCCTCATCTTCACTGCCATTATTCCTCCTCCTCGTCCTCCAGATCATCCCCCTCCTCCTCCTTCTCCTATGTTGTGCCCTCCCCTTACTCTCCCCCAACTTTCCTCCTCCACCTCTTTATCCCTACAATCCCACAGAGGCTCTCTGCGACGGAGGGGACTTTTGGAGCACCAAGCATGCGGCGCTCAGACGGCCCACGATCCCCATGGCTTGCCGCTTTGTTCCCCTCCCACGCAGCGCCCCAACACTTCAATCAATCCGCCTTTGCCCCCTGGCACCGTGGGCCGTGGTAGAATGCCTGAGCTGTCTGTGCTCTTCTGCAATCAAACATAACCCATACTAACATCCTTCAAGAACATGAGACCCTCCGCCGGCCAAATCACCCCAAATCATTAGATCACCGAGGGTACCCTTTCCCAAGATGCACAAGGCTAGCCAGCACACGCGACACACAGCAGGGTACCCTCCCCGAACCGACCCCGATCTTATGCCTCGGTCCGACTGTGCAGGGCACCCACCCCCTCTACCCGCAAAGTCTTGCGTGCACAAAGCCGCGGCCCCTCGTACCTGAAAAACACTGTGGGTCCGCGCTTCCGAGGCCAGGCTCGCTCGTACAAAAAAAAACAAAGGGTCCGGGTTCCCCGGCTTCCACGGCGGCCGAGGCAGACAACCAAGACCGCCAGGACAATCCAGGATGCCTCCAAGACGGCTCCAGGGCGGCCGAAGATGGGCCCAAGATGGCCCATGATGCCTCCAAGCGGGCCCAAGAGGGCCACAAGAGGACATCAATATATATATATATATAGATATAAATATAGATATCCATGTATGACTTGTTTGTTTTGAACTAATCTCGCGTTCTCGCCTTTTCGGGCCTCCGTCAGCTCGAGGCGGCCCAAGAAGCCTCCAATATGGCGCAAAGAGGCCCCTAAGCGGGTCCCACGACGGCCCCACGTGGACCCACGATGGCCCAAGAGACCTCTGAGAGTGCCCCACGACGGCCTCGGCATAGAGACCTAATACGGCCTGAAAAACCCGTCGACGGCCCAGGTCCAAGACAGCCCCACTAGAGCCCAAACGAGCTACATGCCAGCTCCTCAAGAAACGAAGACGAAAGGTGGTACGTGCCACATGTGACGACATTCTTGAAGGGGCCCACAAACATACAAATAAATACACACACAAATAACAGGATTCCTTATATTTTCCAATATTTTCGGGTTTTTTGTCTTCCCCCCCACTTCCCACATTTTCCCCTACTTTCCTGGGAGTCGACGATTGATTGTGTCTGTGTGTTTCCTCCCCTCCTGAATTCTTCCTCTTTCTCCTGCGCCCCAAAGGATTGCCAGGATGGCTCCAGGGAGGCCCGTTGTCTGCCAGCGGGGCCCCGCAGACGCCCCCCGACGCGGCCGGCATGTTCTCAAGAGGCTCCCAGAGGTTTTCGAGCGTCCCAACGAAGTCTTTAGGGGGCAAGCAAACCTACCTCGCTTTTGACCACCCTCGCTTCCAAGAGACACCAAGCGATGCCAAACTACGGCCTGTACTGGTCAGGCCGCTTGACGAGGAGGCGCGTGGTATGACTTGGTTGTGCCTGGAAGCGAAAGCGGGGTAGGTAATGCACGCTCTGAGTCTTACCAAGCTCCGACGAGGCCCACAATCTGCGCGAAAGAGCCCCGCAACATGCCCCAAGAAGCCGGAGCCCCAGAACATGCCCCAGGACGGCCCAAGAGAACCCTTGAGACCATCGGCTGCACGTAAGAATGACCCTATGACCCTAGGCAAGAGTGACCTTTGATGCGCGACTTTCGGGGGCCGCGGGGAGGCCGAACCAGAACGCGCAAGCCACTGCTACCGCATCGCATTCAATCATCTGAGGACCCCTCTGTGCTCGCACCATCAATCACTCCGGCGAAAGATCACTCTGACGCGTAGCCGAAACTAACTCTACCATCTCCTCCTCCGCTCTCGTCACCGATGGCCGCTTCATCCAGACGGCCAAGCGCACTTCACTGGTTCCCCCAAGTCTTCCACAACGGCTACTCAAACGTCCGGTCTGCCTACACTGGCCCCAGTAGCAACACGTCCGCTGGTCTGACGTTTTCCATGCGCGGCCCCAGAAATTCCGAACCGTTCCCCAGGATCATTTTTTCGTCGCGGATCCAGTTTTGCGCTGGTCCGAGGGCCCGGGAACCGGCCTTAGATGCCGAAGTCGAGGAAACACGCCCAGATGGAGCGAAACCGATTTCGGCGGCGAGCCTGGGGGGAAGTGAGAAGGAGAAAAGGCCTTCTGAGAAGGCTCGGAAGTCCCCCAGCCTTCTGAGGAGCTTCTAAGCCTCCCCCGGAGACACAACAGACTTCTCAGATGGCGCGAGGGTTTCTGAGAAGTCCCGCCGCCTTCTGAGAAGGTCTTCTCCTTCTCACTCCCCCCTCGGGCGCGCCGCCGAATATCGGTCAAAGTCTGTCCCCAGACCCCTTCTGGGGTCCATCCGACGCGGTTTAAAACCCCAAATTGAGTTTCGGGGGTCCCGGGACCAGAAACGGCCCCCAAGCTGGCCGAAAACTACTCAAAACAAGCATCTCGAACCTTGACAATTTGAACATCGAACTTCGAACCTCGCTCGCCGCCGAAGACTGTCGGAGATCTGTCCAAGACGACCAAGATGGCCCCAAGGCGGCCCAACCGGTCCGAATGCTACCCCCGAGCGGGGCAGAGGGCGGCGGTGACCCCCCGTGTATGCAGGCGTCTTCGCTGAAGTGTGGCAGCAGCCGACGTGTCCCCTCCTCCTGCTCCTCCTCCTCCTCCTCCTCCTCTCCATCCTTCTCCAATTTCTCCTGCTCCCCGTCCACAATTTCACAACATGAACACTACTCTCCTCTCTGGTGACGTCCAGCAAATGTCGGGCCACCCTCTGCGTACTGGCTTCTTACACACCAAATTCCCGGGAACAAGGTTTTCGCTAGTATTTGTTGTGTTTAATGAAAGCCGCTCTCGCCGAGGCGCTGGCTTCATTTTCGGGCTACCGCTCGTTCCGAATCGCGCTCCCGCTCCAGCGCTGGCCTCATTTCCGCGCTTCTGCTCGTTCCGAATCGTGCTCCCGCTGCAGCGCTGGCGTCATCACTTCCAGCGTCATACCACGGCATGATTTTCGGTCCTGCCAACTAAGCCCCAACATATAATAAAAAATGCCCCCCCCCCCCGAAACAACCATCGGAAGTGATTACACATTCGGTGCCGATTCGTTGATTTTTTGGGCCGCAGAAGGGCGTCGCCACGCTATGCTACGTCCGGCTACTACGCGCTGATCTTCAAGACCATGCTATGCCATGTAATGCTATGCCCTGCTGCACATCCGACTGTGCGAATAGAGAAGGGATCTACGCCATGATCAGGGATGGGAGGGAGGGGTAGGACGTCAGATATGATACGAGCGCAGCTAGCTTGTCCCCCTCTCCCTCCACCTCCCCCTCCTCCTCCTCCTGCTCCTCCTCCCCCTCCTGCTCCTCCTCCTCCTCCTCCTCCTCCTTCCCCCCCCCTCCCCCTCCTCCCCCCCGCCGACGTTGCGCATACTGCTGGCCTGTAGACATGCTAATCTGAAACGACACGGGGCTGTACCGCGGTGCGCTTACGGTGCCTGCCCAAGCGGCAAACCGAAATCGGGGAGCGTGAGCAAGGCTAGCAAGGATAACTCTCGCAAGGCTTTGCGCGCAACACGTGTAGAACATCCCACCAACCGTGTACCACCTGAACAGCGTGAAAGATCCCCGTGTATGCACCTCCCACGGCGGCAACATAATTACACCATGCCTTCCAACCGTAATAGCTTCGACTGAGCGGAGAGCCCCAACACGTGCAAGCGCACACCGGCACGCGACGCTCGTCCTTGGCGTCCAAGAAGCCCTCGGTGCAATCGAAATCTGCCGATGTGTCCTGCACGGCGGATGCCAATTCGGTGAGGTTCCCTTCGCATGTACAACATCTCTGCCAATACGACGACATTGCCGATCCCCATGCCCTGCGAACATGGGACGCGGAAGTACACATCTTACGACCTCGATCATGAGGGGGCCAAGGACCACGTAACCACTGACAGACATGGCATTCGCTGACGCACCCCCGAGAACACACGCAAAGTGCCGCTTCAGCGGCCCAAAAATGCGCACACTCCGCGCGCCGCCGAAGTGAACTCGTTCGTGAGGGGGGCCGCTACGTCAACACTGACAAACAACGCACCCCCGGAGACCACGCAGAAGTGCGCCGCTTCCGTGGCCCAGCCGTGCGCACCCTCCACCGTGCCGCCCTGGCGTGCCGGGAGAGGTGCGCGCCGCGGCGTGGCGCACAGCGACGCACACATCTTTCCGAAGGTCCGCCCGGATTCTCTTGGATCGGGGCGGGGCCGAGAAGCACCCTCACAGATGCATGTGAGTACATACGCGCCGGTCGGAAGAAGTGGGTAAACACATGAAGTGGGAAGCCGGATCAAGCAGATTGGGTTCAGGCCTTCCCAGAGAACAACAACACACAGCAATCTCACATCGATTGTTGAAATAGGAAGGCGCTGGAAGTAGATTGAGATCTGGGACTATGATAGTACAGTCGGGGCGCTGACCTAAGGAATCCTTAATAAGGAACGAGGCCCCTTTTTCCATAAGTTAAGCTTCGCCTTCCCATCGAACAATTGAGGAAAATCTTCGGCAGACTGCAGAACAGCTAAGGAACACTGAGCCCTCCCAAACGAACAGGGTTCCTTCTTCAGCGCCCCGACTGTACCTACTTTCGACGGCCGGCGTGCAGTGTTCGGAGGTCCGCGCGGACTTCTCGGATTTGGACGCCCGAAATGGGCACGGAAAGAATGGGCACAATGGCCAACAGCAAATGTTGTCCCAAACCAACAGCGGCCGCTGTTGGGCAGGCGGCCTCCTGTCTCGAATTGACACAGGCCGCGGCGGCGTGGACAGCGAGTCCGGTTCAAAATGAACAAGAAATGCTGTTGGGCATTGTACCCATTCTTTCCGTACCCATGTCGGGCGTCCCGATCGGAGCAGCGCCGAGCCCTCCGCCCCCCCCGGCCTGGCGCGCGGAGCGCGCCAAGGGGCGGCGCCGCCGGGGGGGCCCGGCGCCGGCCGATGGCGCATCCGCGCGGGCCTCCGGCAAGCTTCAAGCTGCAGTTGTTGTCGTTGGAGCGATGGCGTGCAGCATCGACCGGAGGAGGAGGAGGAGGAGGAGGCGGAGGAGGAGGAGGGGGAGGAGGAGGAGGGGGAGGAGGAGGAGGAGGAGGAGGAGGAGCAGGAGCAGGAGGAGGAGGGGGATGCCGAAGAGCATGCTGTCCGTGTGAGGCGATCCCCCCGCCCCCCCCGAGGGCTCCTGCTGCGCACGCCACCCTCTGCTGCCAGGGCTTCTGCGGCGCACGCTGGCCCCGAGGCGGGGGACAGCGCGTAGCCAGACCACCCCAATTCAATTTGAAGATTTGAATTTCGGGTTTGAGGGGGGGTACGGGCTTCAAACGTGATTTTTCCATGTTCCCCGATCCCACCCCCACTGGGCATGGAGGGCAAATTGGGGCCTTCGGGTTGGGTTAGCGTTAGATCGGGCATGTCCTCCTGCAGGCGGGTTTGGGAAGAGAAATCAAGCATAGTCAACACACATTCAAACATGATCAAACATAGTCAAGCATCGTCCCCAGTCTTTTCTTTGGGCTATTTTTGGATGGTCCTCCTGTAGAGGGACATGCCCGACTTCAGGTCAGGGTGGCTTTGTGGGTGGTGGTGATCTGGCGGTAACCAAGGTTGACGCTTTACCGCCGGCTTCCAGTTTGTTTTTTTTGTCGGTTACAATTCTTTCCTCCGAACTTAACAATTAGTGAGAGCTCTAATTTTTTCCCCCCGTCTTCGATCTGATTCCCGCTTACCATCTCGATCTCAGGCCGATCGGGTGAACATTACTGCCCCCTCCCGAGGGCTTCTCCTCCCGAGAGCCGCAGGGCTTCTCCTCCCGCCGCAGGGCTTCTCCTCCCGAGGGCTTCTCCTCCTCGCCGCAGGGCTTCTCCTCCCGAGAGCCGCTTCTCCCGACGGCCCTGGGGCCCACGGAGGGCCCCCGAGGGCCGAGCGCGGCGACCCCCCTCCCCCCGCCTTGGTTACCTGGAGACACTGGGAGCGCTCCCTCCCTCCTTCTCCGTACTGTACTGTCCGCTCCGCCTCCTCCTCGGCCTCCTCCTCCCGCTCCTCCTGCTTCTCCTCCCTCCTCCTCCTCCTCCTCCTCTCTCCTCTCCTCCTCCTCCTCCTCCCTCCGCCTCCTCCCTCCTCCTCCTCCCCTCTCCTCCTCCTCCTCCTTCCTCTTCCCTCCTCTCCTCTCCTCCTCCTCCTCCTCTCCTCCTCATCCTCCTCCTCCCTCCTCCTCCTCCTCCTCCCCTCCTCCTCCATCCTCCTCTCCTCCTCTCCTCTCCTCCTCCTCCCTCCTCCTCCCCCTCCTCCTCCTCCTCCTCCTCCTCCTCCTCCCTCCTCCTCCTCCTCCCTCCCTCCTCCCTCCTCCTCCTCCTCCTCCTCCCTCCTCCTCCTCCTCCTCCTCCTCCTCTCCTCCTCCTCCTCCTCTCCTCCTCCTCCTCCTCTCCTCCTCACCCTCCCTCCTCCTCCTCCTCCTCTCCTCCTCCTCCTCCCCCTCCTCCTCCCTCCTCCCTCCTCCTCCTCCTCCTCCTCCGCCTCCTCCTCCTCCTCCTCCTCCTCCTCCTCCTCCTCCTCCTCCCCTCCCTCCTCTCCTCACCCTCCCCTCCCCCCTCCTGCTCCCATCCTCTCCTCCTCCTCTCTCCTCCTCCCCTCCTCCTCCTCCCCCCCCTTCCTCCTCCCTCCTCCTCTCTCCTCTCTCCTCCTCCTCCTCCCCTCCTCCCCCCCCCTCCTCCTCCTCCTCCTCCTCCCTGCTCCTCCTCCTCCTCAGCTCCTGCTCTGCTCCTGCTCCTCTCCCTCCTCCTCCTCCTCCTCCTCCTCCTCCTCCTCCTCCTCTCCTCCTCCTCCCCCCCTCCCTCCTCCTCCTTCCGCTCTCCTCCTTCCCCCTCCTCCTCCTCCTCCTCCTTCTCCTCCTGCGCCCTCCCCTCCTCCCCCGACGGAAGGGCGGACCTCCGCGCGCGAGCGGACGCGCAGAAGCCGCGCACAGGAGACGCGCGGGGTGCCGCGTCCGCCCTGCTCCTGCTCCTCCTCTTAAGCCGAAGCCAGGGCGAGGATCAATTCGGGCGAGGATACGTCGAGAATCTCTGAGATCCAGCGGCTCTGGAGGGTGCCTCGGGCGCCGCGGCCTTCCCAGAGCGTTCCGGAACGCTCTGAGAGCGTTTCGGAACGCCCTGGAACGAGATGATCCTCGTCCTAGCCCCGTCCGACCCCTTCCGAGATCATCTCACTCACCCACCCCACCCGCGCCTTCCTGGCCACAGCGCTGGATTGGCGCGGCAAATTGTCGACCCTGCGGGCGGAAAGCACGGCCAAATGCCTCTTGTCCTCAACCTCGCTCTCGGCTGATGTCGGCTTGACGCCTTCTTCTTGTGCTGTCGCAACCTGCGCAAAACTCCGACGCCGTGATTCCTACACAACGTGAGCCCCCAGAGGTCTGGACCCCGCCCCCAAGACTGGTTTTTCGTGCCAGGGAGTTTTTTGACGGTCCCGGGGCCCGGCGAGGGTGGAGGCGTCCAGGGACACACAAATGAACAGACACCAATCCTAGGATTCCTAATATCTGTCAATGTTTTCTGAAGTTTCGTCTTCCCCTCCACTTCGTATGCTTTCCATTTTTTCCTTGGCATCGACGATTCTTTGTGCCTGTATTTGTTTTCCCCTCCTGAGAGGCCCCTGGAGGCCGAAAGTGGACGACCCACCCCCCCCAGCGTCATTTTTGAGGGGGCGCGGGTAGAGGCCTCCTGGATGGGGTCCGAGTAGATGGGGTCCGAGGATCGCGCCGCGTCGCCGATACATTGGCGATGCATCGGCGATGCGTCGTCGACGTGGGTGATGAATCGGCGACGTCGACGTGAAGCAAATCGGGCTCCACGTCGAGCCGCATCGGCGATGCATCGGCGATGCGGCGCGCCCTGCTCCTTCCCGCCCCCCCTTCTCTTCCTCTTCCTCCTCTTGCTCCTGCTCCTCCTCCTCATTCCTGCCCCCCCCTCCTCCCGCCCCTCCTCCTGCTGCCTCCCCCTCCTGCGCCTGCTCCTCCTGATGCTGACGCTGTCGGCATGAGCACCCGTGCTGGATGCTCTGCTCCTCCTCCTCCTCCTTCGTAGGCAGACTTCAGGAACGGAGCTTGCAGCGTTCTCCTCCTGCTACTCTCCGCCTCCTCCTCCTACTCCGCCTCCCCTTCCTCCTCCTTCTCCTCCTCCTCCTCCTCCTCCTCCTCCATTCCTTTTCCATTCCTTTCCTCATAAATGATTTCTCCCTGTCGCACCCCGAGGCCAGATTTCATGGCGGCGGGGCGTTCCGCCTGAGACTTCCTCACCATGACCCTGCAGCTTCAAAAATGGTACCAGTTTCACAGATGGAGTGCGGGTGGTTTTCAACATGTGGCTCTCGCCTTAGCGCCGCGCAAATTCGTTTAAACAATTAGCAAGAACTTCGCGGATTCAGGGGGACCCGTTGTCAAAATGTGGCTCTCGCCGTAGCGCCGCGCACACTCGTTTCAAACATTTGCAAGAATTTAGCGGATTGAGGGTGGTTCCTTTTCACAATGTGGCTCCCGCCTTCGCGCCGCGCGCATTCGTAACAAATATTTGCAAGAATTTCACGGATTCTCGTGGTCAAAATACCATAAATGACGCTTTCGAACGATTCAGGATGGGTGCAACCGTTACGTTCGTTCGCGGTGTTGAAGTCCCAAGAATGGTGTTCTGGTGCGATTCAGGATCGTCAAAACGCGACAGTCAGGTTGATCCATGGCGTTGGAATCCCGAGAACAATGTTTTGGCATGCTTCAGGGTCTTCAATCGGTTGTCTTCCAACGAGGCAGTTCCCTCAGTGGCAATGAACCGTTGTGGGGGTCTATCAAGAGGGAGCTCGGAGGCAGGCTTTCTTCCAACATCGTTGATGCCTCTTGGGCTTACACTGGTCCTCCCCCTTCTCCTCCTCCGCCGCCCCTCCTCCCCTTCGCCTGCCCCCACCCCCTCGAGTCTCGAAACCCGGGCCTCGAGCCTCGGCGCGGCGGCGGCAGCGGCGGCCGCATGTCGCAGGTCCTGCGGCGCCGCCGCCCGCGGGAGCGGCGCGGCGGGGGTGGTGGTGGTGGTGGTGGTCGCTGTGGAGGAACAGCCGGAGCCGATGCTCGCGCAGCACCAGTCCTGAGCGAGGGAGTAGTCCACAACACGCATACATGTATATACTCATATTTGCACACGTATGTACGCATGTCTATTCCTCTTCCTATATTTTTATAAGCCCGGGCGGGGGGAAGACCCATCCCCCCCCCCCCAAAACCGGACTCCCAGGACCTGAGGCTTTGGGGCCCTCCCGACGGGGCTCGAAGCGGCCACCGGGCCTCGCAAGGCGTTTTGCCAAGCCTTCCCAGCCAGCACACTTAGGGCGATCAGGGGGGCCATCGGAGACGTCCCAGAGACCCCCAAGACAGCACAAGAGCGCTCCAAGAGTGACCGACGTGACCTCAAGATGGCCCAAGAGGCCTCCAGGACGGCCCCAAAGAGGCCTCCAAGAGCACTCCCAAGAAGGCCCCCCGAGGCAAAAATGATTGATTTTCTGCGGGTTATTGGTGAATTTTGGGGTTCTCCTCTTTTCGGCTTCCCGACGCTCCAAGACGGCGGTCTTCTGGGCGTCCGAAGCCGCCTGGGAGGCTCCCAAATCGCCCCACAACCATCCGAAAAGGCTTCCAAGCAGTCCAAGAGAGCCCCAAAACGGCACAACACGGGTCCAAGATGGCCCCCAGAGAGCCCCATGGCGGCCCAAGATGGCCCAAAGACACCCTCCGAAGCATTCCAAATCGTGTTTCGGTCGTTCGGGGAGACGGCGGTTGGAGGCAGGGTGGCCCGAGGAAGCCCCCAGAATACGCCCAGGAGACCTCCAGAAGGCGTTAAGAAAGCCTGAAACAACTTTTGTGAGGCCCCTAGAGGCTCTCCAAGGAGGAACCTCCGCAAAAAAGAGCTGAGGAGGATGGGGAGAATGCGCAGGGTATGGCGAAAAAAAAGGAACAATAAGCATGGAGGAAGGATAACAAAAAACATCATTATGGCGGCAATGCCAGAAAAAGGCAATCAGGAGTTATCGCTAAATTGTCGGCTTGACCTTGCTGCCATTCCGCCTGCATACCAAACTTCAAGGACCAAGGTGCACGGCGCGAAGCGCCACTGCAGTCTTGTATATATATATATATGGAGGTGCATATCCATGTGTATGCATGTACATCCATGCACATACATACATATAACATATATGCAACTATCTGTCAATCGTACAGATATCGATCTATGCAAATGTATGTTTATCTGGTACCTTTTGAATACATTATAAAAGAACCACACAAACACCCTCCGACGACTTTTGCACGTAGCTTCAGGGAAGGCTTCGGTGCATGAAGTCGCTGGCGGGAGGGCGGCGGTGCATGAAGTCGCTGGCTCTACAGTCAGCTCGTACATCAAGGACGCATGATAAGGATGCCAGGGCCCTGGGAGGCCGTGTCGACACTTGGCGGGCGGGGCGCGGCCAGCGAGAGCGGCCAAGGATTGGCCGAAGGGTAATGATGCAAGGGTAACCTTGGACAGTCGCTCATCATGAC